CATATTTTTAAGCCAGTAATGAGCATTATAGTTATTTGCAGAGAGAGGGGTCCTTATATGCGGGAAGGGTCATTTTTTGGCCGATCCAAAAAAAAAATTGGTACAGAGGTTTTGGCTCGTAAGAAACTTAAGTGTGTAGCACTTCATCGCTTTACTCATATTTTTAAGACAGTAATGAGCGTTGAAGCTATTTCCTGAAGTGGACCCAATAGGGGGAGTAGGGCCAATTATGGACCTATCCACATAAAAGTTATTAAAAATATTTTGGCTCGCGAGGAACTTAATTGTGTAAAATGTTATTGCTATATTCGTAATTTTTAGCCAGTAATGAGCGTTAAAGTCATTTTCAGATGGAGGATAGGGTCATTTATGGGACGATCTTAAAACAAAATCGTAGAGCGATTTTGGTTCGTAAGAAACTTACTTATACCGAATTTCATCGCTATACTCACATTTTTGGACCAGTAATGAGTGTTAAAGTCATTTTCTGAAGGGGACCTTATATGAGGGTAGGGTCAATTATGGACCGATCCTCAAAAAATTTGGTAGAAAGATTTTGGCTCACATGAAACTTATTTATGTAGAATTTCATTGCTATACTTGCATTTTGGGACCAGTAATGAGTGTTAGAGTCATTTTCAGAAGGGGACCGTATATGGGGGTAGGGTCATTTATGGGCCGATCCTAAAAAAAATTGGTTAAAAGGTTTTGTTTCGTAAGAAACTTACTTATACCGAATTTCATCGCTATACTCGAATTTTTAGGCCAGTAATGAGTGTTAAAGTAATTTTCTGAAGGGGACCATATATTAGGGGTAGGGTCATTTATGGGCCGATCCTCAAAAAATTTGGTAGAAAGATTTTGGCTCATATGAAACTTATTTATGTCGAATTTCATCCCTATACTCGTACTTCTGAAGCAGTTATGTCCGTTAAAGCTGTTTATTGGAGGTCCACTTGTATGGGGGCTATCCGAAAAATTGGACCGATATTGCCTATTTTTAATACCAAACAAACTTTAGCAATAGGGAATATTTATGCAAAATTTCAACTGTCTAGCTCCTCTCGTGTGGTCCCTATCGTGATTTCAACAGACAGATGGACGGACGGACGGACATGGCTAGATCGTCTTAGAATTTAATAAGGACCCGGAATATATATACTTTTATGGGTCTATGGCCAATATTTCGATGTGTTACAAACGGAATGACAAAATCAATATACCCCCCATCTTTTTTGATGGTGGGTATAAAAATTGTGAAAAAAGTGTGAGTTTTTTTTTTACTTAAATGGCCGTAACCAAGACATTAATCATAAATTTTGGATTTATTTTTTTGGGTTGAAAGACAACACTTGTATCTTTAAAACAAAATATCCAATTTGAAAATCGGTTGCAAACTACCAAACATATATTTTTTTTAAGTTAAAACTTCAAAAATAGCTCTTTTTCACAACTTTTGCTCTTAAAAAGGAACTAAACGAAGTGATCGGGAAAAATTAAAAAATAAATTCCTACTCTATGGACTATAACGAAATAGAATTGGTATATGAGAACCCTTGCATTTTTTTGCTGTATCACTGTGTAATTGTTCGTCCGAAAATTGTCTTAGTCCTGGTCCATAAACCCTATAAAATATTCCCGTACATTGAGAACATTTAGTATTTCGGAGATGTTTTCAATTTCATGGTTTTAAATATAGAATGACTTCTAACATGATGTTTAATTTTATGATCGTGAGAGCTTTCATGTTAATTTCTCGTCAAGGTAGAGAAAAGGTTTCTTTAACAAGTATTGTCGACGTGTGCTTAAAGAGTCATGTTTCTAAATTTTTTTGCGATTGCATAGGAGTGAGCTGAGTATGTAAGCTAAGTTTTCGGGAAAATATGTGAAAGTTAGACTTCTTCGATGTTGTTGCGGAATGCGTTAACCACATAAAATATGACCTGAACTCTTTGCGAATGTACTGTGAATTTGGATCTTAAATTTGAATTTTAAAATACCTACGAATTATTTTACTGCGTGGTTTTGACTATTTACGCAAAACGCTATGAATTTTCTGATGTTGATTTAATAATATTGGACAACAAAATGAAGTTAAAATCTGTGTATCACGTTGGAATAGAATATTTATATTTAAAATTAACTAGATTAACACTTTTGCTCACAATTTAAAAAAAAATTATGAAATGTGACCTAACTTCATATTCCGGGATACCAGTATCAGTATTTAATTCTAAGGCAAATCATTATCCGTCTGCTATAAAAACATTTATTTCGATACATAGATATTTATAAAAATTACAAATCACGTAATACTTTACTTTATAAAAGTGAAACAATAATTTCAGGATGAAACTGATAAACGACCGAAACAATAAAATTCAAAGAGTCACCAACAAATCTGGGATTATTGAATAAAAATTGTGTATTTTAGTATTTATGAAAAATTTGGAGATATTTTTAATATTTTGTAACATATAGAGAATATTTTTTATTCATGATTTTTTTCGTTCGTCTTCGCGGACCCCCTAGGATTTTGCTACGGACCACTAGGGGTCCGCGGACCCCCTTTTGGGAACCGTTGATATAAACAATATATGAATAAGAGTATTGTAGTTATATTTAGAATTTTTGCAATTTTTAAAAGAAATTTTACATAATTTTGAACAAAAAGGGCTGATACTGACATTAAGGGTCAAATTTGAAATATCTATAAATAACGAGTCTATTCTATAACGAGACAATATATTCGTTGTGAGTAATACTGGATGGAAAAGTAAAAAATATAAGAATTATAATTGTAAACAAAATTTTCGTTAAAAAAAACTTTAATTGTTGTTTTGTTTTTGTTTAAATAAACAATATTTTGTTAATGAAATCTTGTTTAAACCACATTTCTTGCATTTTAATTGCCAAATTAAAACGAATACTTATTATTAATTAAAAAGAACTTTTTTGTTTACATGTTTTATTTTCCTCAAAAATTCCTCCTTCAATGGAAATGAGTAAGCAGATGTTCATAAAGTTTTTGTTGTTGTTGTGTTGACATGATTGATTTAATTATTAAATGAGTGAGAGTGAATGAATGAGTGTTTGACTGTTTTAAATGACCCCGTATGTAAATTGCAATTAATTAAAATGACCAAGATTACAAAAAGAAACAAAAAAAAAAAAACATGAAAACAGGATAAATGTAGTTAAAGTGCCAGCGGTTTAAATAAATCATTTGCAAATTACAGTTTGAAATAAATTTTAAGTTTTCTAAGAAAATTTAAGATTAAAATGGGACTATTGGATATAGTATATAATAATAGTCTGAACTCATAGAGGAATGACTGTAACAATGACTACATGTTCTTCAATGACTACATGTTCTACGAGTCAAATGAATTTGGTCCTACGAACCAAGATTCACTATCAGTGTCAGACATTTAAAAATTTCTATAAACGGTTCTGATTCAATTCGATGTATAGTGCAGTGAAATTGGACTATTTTATTATTATTTATTTAAAGGATTTTCTTAAAAAAAGTACATTTTTAAATAGGATTGAAATTGACGAAATATCCCAAATATAGTATACGGACGTCGTGCAAATTTTTCGAATTTTTTCTTTACAACAAGATATCGAAGTCAACATCTGGAGAATTTTCTGATTTCATTTGAAATAAAAACTGTAATAAAGGCTGAATTCTTCTTAAGTTAAAAACACCAAAATTTTAAAGGCATTTCTTTTTATGAAAGACATATTTGGGCCGCACCGGAACGACCTGACTCATACTTAGCCAAAGATCTCAGTTCAGCGACTGCAGTATCAAACGAAATTTTGTTTTTCCCAGAAAAGATCCATCGGTCATAGTCGAACTGATACATTAATAACAACAACATATTACGATCCATTAAAAATGGATTAACTTGGACCAGAATTTTGATTCATATTGAAGCCAGTAGATAGCGCGTTCGAAAGCATTTATTTTTCAGATGTTATTTCGTATAAATTCGTCAGGTCATCAGGCCAAAGGCACAGGTCATCAGCCAAAGGCATCGTTTTGTCAAAATCTGCTGTAGTTTCGATTGTGGAGATTTATTCTTCTGGCATATAGGCCATTATTTGACGAAACTATCTTGCTAGATGTTTAAATTTGGAGCTTGATCTTCGCCAATCGAGAAGGGAAATTAGTGGATCAGTTAATCATTGGTATTCTTACGCCGAGATAGTAGTATACCAACAAGTCTATAGGTCTCCATTAGTATTAGTGATGCCCCTTTATTGTCATGACATCTTTCTTTGAGCTGTGATCCGGCAATGTCTTAGTTCAGAATAATTCGCTATTCATTTAAAATCCGAATGATTTCGTGTAAATGTCATCTATATACATGATAATCAATCTCGTTTAGTCGATTAAACCTCGAAACTAAACGGATTGCAAATTGACCGAAATTTCTGCTTTTAGAGCATAATTGTTGCAGGAGTTGAAAAGAAATCTTCGGTATCATAATAAATAAAATTAGTAGGCTGATATGAAGAAGGCTTGGACGTTTTAGTTGATATTTTACCTTAATTAGATATATATAAAAAAGGATAATAAATTGGCGTATTAACTTTATATGTGGAACGTGAGGTGTACAAGTATACTTGTCGGATAATCTAAATAAAAAGATCGAAATCTCCATTTAGATTCTATTGAGATTTCGATCGATATCGTATGCCGTAATTTGGCCCCTGGATAGAAAATTGCATTGACTACTTTATGAACATGACTACCAGTATCAAGTGGACAAATCAAAGAATTATGGATAATATTTTAAACTTCATACGGATTTAATCATTATCAGTAATATTTTTTAAAAAAACATTTCATTTTCATACGAACAACTAACAGCATGAACTACATATAACACGATCATTCAAGATTAAAAAAAAAAAACATACTCAACCTATCAAACTCAAGAACCTGATTTCAATTATTAATGTCTAATTCTCCCGATATCTGATTTTAGCTAATTGACATGTCAGCTCATACCATGCCACCGATGAGTTTAATATGTGAAAACTTTCTCAAATCAATGGTTAAATCAAGTGAAACCAAATCATTGGACAATAACCTGCTAAATTCCAATAATGATGAAGATGCTTTAACCACTAGACTTAATGGTGATCTTAACGGTTTTGCCGCACACTCAGATGACGACGAAGATGAGGATAATGATGTTAAAATGACAAATGGTTCATCTCCCTCCCCTAAAGAAACTAAGAAAATACGCAAAGATCTAATGGAGAAAACGGAACAACTTAAACGGAAATCTTTAGGTATAAGTAAGAATAATTCAACCGCCTTACCTGCCGCCCAAGAAGATGAGGAACACAAATTAAGATGTATGGCCAAGCAGGCTATACAATTAGATTTTTAATTGGAATTACTTAGCGTTTAGTTCCATTTTACACCTGCTATTAATTATAATTGATTAAAAAACAACATATTAAGTTTTTTATTTAAATCTTAAACTATGACTCCAAGTTTTGCTTGATTTATTGTATAAAAAAAAAATAATATTTAACTGTTACAATTTACTTTTTACAATAGTTTTGTTTTCTTTCCCAAATGTTTCTTTTTGCAAAGAAAGTGTAAATGCATTCAAGTTATTTTTATATTAATAAAAAAATGTCAACATAAAAGTTTTCCTAAATAAATGCTATTTTCTTAAAAAACAAATATAAAAAAAAACAATTTTATTTTGTTACTGTTATTATTTTGTGTTAAAATTTACAAAAAGTTTCTTCTTTCTATGAGACCAGCATGACTTAAAACATTATAAATTTCCCGTCTGGCAATCTTTTCTGCTTGTCTATCCAAAACCTAAAAAGAAAAAATAAGAAATTAGACAATTTTATAGAGGTTTCAAGATAAGCAAGTTTTGGTTTTAAATTAAAGTGTGTGCACGAAAAACAACTGTCTATAATCTGGAATATAGACCAGAATATAGTCTGGAGTACAGACCAGACTATAGTCTGGAGTATAGACTAGACTAGACTGTAGTCTATAGAATATAGACCAGACTATAGTCTGAATTATAGACTATACTATAGCCTGGAATATAGACCAAAATATAGTCTGGAGTATAGTACAGACTATAGTCTGGAGTATAGAACAGACTATAGTCTGGAGTATAGAACAGACTATAGTCTGGAGTATAGAAAAGATTATAGTCTGGAGTATAGAAGAGACTATAGTCTGGAGTATAGAACAGAATAGAACTATAGTCTGGAGTATAGAACAGACTAAACTGGTGTATAGAACAGACTATAGTCTGGAGTATAGAACATACTATAGTCTGGAGTATAGAACAGATTATAGTCTGGAGTATAGAACAAACTATAGTCCGGAGTATAGAACAGACTATAGTCTGGAGTATAGAACAGACTATAGTATGGAGTATAGAACAGACTATAGTCTGGAGTATAGAACAGACTATAGTTTGGAGTATAGAACAGACTATAGTCTGGAGTATAGAACAGACTATAGTCTGGAGTATAGAACAGACTATAGTCTGGAGTATAGAACAGACTATAGCCTGGAGTATAGAACAGACTATAGTCTGGAGTATAGAACAGTCTATAGTCTGAAGTATAGAACAGACTATAGTCTGAAGTATAGAATAGACTATAGCCTGGAGTATAGAACAGACTATAGTCTAAAGTATAGAACAGACTATAGTCTGGAGTATAGAACAGACTATAGTCTGGAGTATAGAACAGACTATAGTCTGGAGTATAGAACAGACTATAGTCTGGAGTATAGAACAGACTACAGTCTGGAGTATATAACAGACTATAGTCTGCAGTATAGAACAGACTTTAGTCTGCAGTATAGAACAGTCTGCAACAGACTAGAACAGACTATAGTCTCGAGTATAGAACAGACTATAGTCTGGAGTATAGAACAGACTATAGTCTGGAGTATAGAACAGACTATAGTCTGGAGTATAGAACAGACTATAGTCTGGAGTATAGAACAGACTATAGTCTGGAGTATAGAACAGACTATAGTCTGGAGTATAGAACAGACTATAGTCTGGAGTATAGAACAGACTATAGTCTGGAGTATAGAACAGACTATAGTCTGGAGTATAGAACAGACTATAGTCTGGAGTATAGAACAGACTATAGTCTGGAGTATAGAACAGACTATAGTCTGGAGTATAGAACAGACTATAGTCTGGAGTATAGAACAGACTATAGTCTGGAGTATAGAACAGACTATAGTCTGGAGTATAGAACAGACTATAGTCTGTAGTATAGAACAGACTATAGTCTGGAGTATAGAACAGACTATAGTCTGGAGTATAGAACAGACTATAGTCTGGAGTATAGAACAGACTATTGTTTGGAGTATAGAACAGACTATAGTCTGGAGTATAGAACAGACTATAGTCTGGAGTATAGAACAGACTATAGTCTGGAGTATAGAACAGACTATAGTCTGGAGTATAGAACAGACTATAGTCTGGAGTATAGAACAGACTATAGCTGGAGTATAGAACATACCATAGTCTGGAGTATAGAACAGACTATAGTCTGGAGTATAGAACAGACTATAGTCTGGAGTATAGAACAGACTATAGTCTGGAGTATAGAACAGTCTATAGTCTGAAGTATAGAACAGACTATAGTCTGGAGTATAGAACAGACTATAGTCTGGAGTATAGAACAGACTATAGTCTGGAGTATAGAACAGACTATAGTCTGGAGTATAGAACAGACTATAGTCTGGAGTATAGAACAGACTATAGTCTGGAGTATAGAACAGACTATAGTCTGGAGTATAGAACAGACTATAGTCTGGAGTATAGAACAGACTATAGTCTGGAGTATAGAACAGACTATAGTCTGGAGTATAGAACAGACTATAGTCTGGAGTATAGAACAGACTATAGTCTGAAGTATAGAACAGACTATAGTCTGGAGTATAGAACAGACTATAGCCTGGAGTATAGAACAGACTATAGTCTAAAGTATAGAACAGACTATAGTCTGGAGTATAGAACAGACTATAGTCTGGAGTATAGACCATACTATAGTCTCGACTATGTAACTGACTACCGTTGGAACAGACTTTATTTGGGATGATCCCTATCATATCTTACAGTTAATTATATCATTTTTCACACACCCTTTTAATTAAACTTCTAAAATTTCAACTTACCGGCATTTCGCCTGGTCCAAACCAAGACGACTTGGCCAAAGCATTTCTTACTCTAGGCGTTTTATAAAAAGGATTACGTAGTTCACTTGGCAACGTCTGTTCCCAGGCATCATTTTCTATCACAGCAATATGTTGGAAACGATTTAATTGTGGTCGTGCTGTAACCAAGACCAACAAACTTAAAACAATAACTAAAATTGTGTTTAAAGGAGACCTGAAACGGAAAAAGAAAAAAATCAGCTTAACTCAGTTTTATATGGTTCGATCTATAAATAAATGGATAAATATAGATGATAATCTATTAATAGACATATAGATTTTAAGTTAAGTAATAATTGTGGTTCTTTTATGTATTTGTTTATCCAAAGACTTGTTTAAATATGTTTAAAATTTTTATTAGGATTTTTATAATTTTTTATATTATTTCTTTAATTTGCAATTGAATAACTTGGCAATATATCACTATACATATTTTGTAATCACGTTATTGGCCTTATTTATTTTCCATTGAATGCTACTATGACAATCTGCCTGTAGTGTGGTGTTTGGTTTTGCGACCATAAATATATCAAAAATTGTTTTCATTTTATTTGGCTTACTTAAAAACGTAACAGAAATTCAATATGCAGTGAAAGTGTTATACTTTTTTTATTTAAAAGAAGAAAAAAGCAATAGACACCTTTAACAGCTTACACCTTTTTTGCATTACATTTCCATTTAGCATTTGGTTTTGGTCAAGGAGGGTTACGCACCATGAATATTATTATGCGGTAATTGTCGTTCATAGTGAGGTAGTAAAGAAGAAAAATCACACCTTTTTTGCAAATGAAAATAAATATAATTTGTATATATAGTTGTAAAAAGTTGTTATGTATTTGTGATTGAATGTCTAAATCGTATTATTAAATGGACCGGTCCCGTTTTTTAACTAAATAAATATTGGTCTTTTTCCTGTCCAAAAACGAGTCTTAAAGGATTATTCAGAGAATTTTATTAGATATGTCGGGTGATAACACACTGGAAGGTAAACTTTTCATCACATTTCTACCAGGCTACTCGGGAATAATGTACTTGCTATAAAGAGAAAGGAAATCTAGGAAGATAACCTGAGGAATGCAAAACCGTTTGACTCAACTGGAGTTTAAACCTCGAAAACCCTCAGATTGACATTTGAAAAAACTATAACTTCAGCATAAGCATATTGGAATGTTAGTAAGATTAAATGAATAATCTTCCAGAGCCACTCGGAAACAATTAGCAATGAAAGTGCAAATGCATTCGCTATATTTTTTTATTTTGGGAGTAAAATTAAAAACATCGAGAAAGATCCTATTGGGTGAACCTAAGTAGAGGAGAACGACAAACTACCTCAGAATGGGCAGGTCCGAGGTTAGTATGATGGTAAGTGCTTAGTGAATACACAGTATTACGGGTGCATTGGATGAACCTAACGAGAGGAGAACGAGAAACTACTTTAGAATGGGCAAGTTCAAGGTTAGTATGTTGACAAGTACTCTGGATTGGACGAACAGATTCAGAAGATTATAGAGCATGTGGAATGTACAGTTAAACTATGGATTACTTTCTCTGTTATTGGAGGGCTTTCGTCGAAAATAGCCTCAAATATTTTGGAAGCGATGTTATGCCAGAGCGATGTTATTAAATTCCTCAGAAACACTGATAGGAAAATTCTATGAAACTACATCCAGTAAACCTCTGAATATCGAACACTATATAAAGTTTTCTTTACCAAAATGATCCATATCAAAGAGTGACAAACAGGCCCGATTGCTGCCGATCTGATGTAGTATCCAATATCCTTATTACCTAACCTAAACTGTAACTTCAGCATATTCTTAAAGATTAAACACAAACTTATGTAGATCGACCTATTTAAACTCACAACTCCTATGGAAATAGTGGACTCTATTTCAGAATACGAAACGTAGACTGTGGTTGCATACAGAAACCTTTTCAACGAACAGAATGAGGGCCTGTCAATAACATATCGAAAAACAGGATCAACGGATTGTGGATACCCATCACTCTAAGTCTAATCGTCTTCTATAAAGCTTTCTTCTTTGTAATATGAAAAGTATGTAGTTTCATATGAAAAGTATTCAACTGTAAAACGTATCTGGGAAATTGTTAACGAATAATCAAGAATCGTACATAAACTGGTGCGGGGTTGTATTCATCGTCTTAGTAATGTAGGACCTAGGCCGATGACATATGCCTTCAAGAACATCGTCACTACGAATGCGAGAAATTCTGGAGAGAACAAGGTAATGAGATAAAACGTCACATTCAACAGACTATTACATCCAATTTAACATAAGATTAAATGGCAGATTTTCTGATGATGTCCCAAATTGGACCCATAGATCATTTGTCCAATTCAGGAAAAATCATTAAAGTATTGAAATGTTTCCGATATTAATCTTGCGTTTGTAATCGGCTAGTCCTAACCTGATAAAACTTCACATGGATCCTACCAGGGATCCTCCAGGAACGTCGCTATATTTAGATCTATTTCAGGATTGGAATGGACAAGTACTTATCAATGCCAACTGCAATTGAAAATGTTGAGGAAACATCAGATCCAAAAGGGTAGACTTTAAATGTTGAAAATAGTGTCGATAGTGTTTTAGAAGCCTAGTTCATTACCCCAAAAATTTCGTCTGCGTTCATGTTATGTTTACAGATGTTATACGCTTTCATAAAATATTAGCCATCAATTTCATTACATTTTCCTGAACATTTTAATGTTTTTTATTTGTTTCCAAAAAAAAAATTATTAGAGCAGTTTAGTGACTACTACATGGAGCAGCAGTTTTAACGATTTGTAACCGGCATTTTAACTACAAGTTATGATTAGTCTACTAAAACTACTGTTAATACTAAGCTGTTAGTTGCAGTAGAGTAGTTTTAGTTTAATATGCAGCTCGCCTGTTGCCAACTCACGCACTTTTATCTTTGCTTTTTCAATCGAAAAGAGAGTGTAAATGCGTTGCACATTTGTGCGTAAGAAAGTGTTATTAGTCGGACGACTTGTTGTAATGAATATTTCCGCATGTTGGTGCAAACATTTTTCCCTTTTTTTCAAACACTTTTTTTTAACTATTTTTCATCTTTATCTTTATTTATATCAATTGCTGAAATTGTTAAAATTTATCCACAAAAAAAAGTTGTCCATTTGATCAGACAACTTTTCACTTGAGGTTTTTTTTATTAATTTCTTCTGTTTTTAAATATGTGGTTTTATTTAAAATACATTTTTGAAATTATTAAATTTTTTATGTAAGACGTAATTGAAATTGTTGTAATTTACATTCAAAGATGTAAAAATGTTGAAAAAGATGAAAATGCTTTAAAATGGGATTAAAACAATTCCAGAAATTTGAGATTATACTGGGTTGGGGATAAGACTTTCTTAAACATGAGTTAATTTAGAATTCGATAGAGTATAAAGTTTCGGTTTATGTTAAACAACAAGTTTCCAACTTGTCAAAATAATTCCACTACTTCAGTTGGTTCTAAATTTACTTTTGATCAATCATCCTTAAATTGTTTTGGGGTTTTGGCTAACCAGATCTAAGTCTGTGGACAAGTTCATCAACCAGTTTATTGACAACTCGATTTAAATCTTGTTTAGGTGTAATCAGAAATGTTAAGTATTAAAAATGAGCAAAATCGGTTTCACCTAGCCCCCTTGAAAATGTCCCGATATAATACAGTATAAACAGTAATAACCGTCATCTTTGTCAAAAGTGTATATATACATAGATAGGGAAGTCGATTTAGCGATGTCTGTATATCTTGAGAAATCAATTTTCTGAAGACCCTAGATATCTTCGGTATCCAAATTCTCAATAATTCTATTAGACATACTTTCTAAAAGTTTGCTATTGAAAACCATCAAAATTGGTTCTTTAATATCGGAGACATGAGCAAACATCAGTAAAAACCCATCAGGTCGGGAAACATTTGATTCTAGTCCGCATATATAGTCCTCTTTAGAAAATGGTCAATATAGCGATGAAATTCGGCATTAGAAGCATTATAAGAACGAAATTTAATGAGATTCGGTCCATAATCAAAACCCCACCCGACATATAAGATCTCTTAGAGAAAATCTGTTTATTGTCAATAAATCGAGTAAAATAGACAAAACTGATTAATTCTAAAAAAATAATCTCTCTCAAATTCTGTAAAGTTCGTACCATAATTAATCCAAGTCCCCATTAATGGCCTCTTCTAATTTTGTAAACAGTGTAATAGCGTGTTTGGATGTCGCATTCAATTAAATTATTTATTTACATAATTATATAGTTATGTCACTATAAACTATTGTATGGCTTGTGGTTTTGAGCTTAAGAAATTAAGTACCACCACCATCATACAATAATGCGACTACTTAGTTCCATACAAATGATAAAGAAAATCAAGCTACGAACTATTGTAAATTAAGTGTAAATTAATCAAGTATTATAGTACTTGCATGCAAGAAAAACTATTTTCAAATAGATAGTAAAATCTTGGATATTTTATCTCTGTTGTAGTTACTTTTTGGTTGGATGGTGTTGGTCATCATTTCTATAGGGTCTACTAACACAATTCAATTCCATGTCTTACACTCATTCGCCCATATTGTTGTTTACACTTTTTTTCTCCAATTTTCTGTTACACCTGTGATTCTTGTTGTGCAAAAATATTTATTTACTTATTGTCTTCTTTTGCCATTTATTTGTTTCTTGTTGCAAATTGCTGGCAATATTGAAAATTAACTTAAGTTTTTTATTTTTTCTTCTTCATTCAAGTAAAATGTTGTAATATTCGTATAATGTTTAGATTTGAGTCAATATTTAACTGACAAATAAATACTAGTTAAAATGTATTTGTAGGCAAAGATTTATGTTTATAAAACTCTTATAAATTTTGCACAACATCTGTGATTAATATTACTATATAGAAGTTGAAATCTTGGAAATTAGTTGCTAGAAACACAATTCGATGAGGATTTTAAAAATACAGACTTTAATAAAAAAAAAAATAAGGAAAATTAGTGATTATTACTACTACCAAAAAGGTAATCTCTGATATAAGACGTAGTTTTTAAGTAGAAGACGTAATCTTCAGTATAAGACGTTGTCTTTAGTATAAGACGATGTATCAAAACAGAGTCCTTACAAAAATCTTTAGTATAAGACGAAC